CAGAGAAGCAGTGACACCAGGGATGGAGGCAGAGACAATAACATGGAGAGATGGAGTGGCTGGGGACTCTACACCCAGAGAGGGAGAGGGGCTGTGTGCTGATGACCGGGGAGCAGGCTTTCAGGGTGTACTGAATATACCATGGACCACCAGAAGAATGAACAAATCCATGTTAGAAGAAATACACCCGAAATGCTCCTCAGAAGGGAAGATGCCAAGACTTTGTTTCACATATTTTGGACATGCTATGAGGAAATTACTTCCCAGGGTACGACGACATCATGCTTGGTAAAGTAGAGGGTCAGCAAAAGGGGGAAATGACCCTTAATGAGATGTAATGAAACAGTGGCTGCATCAATGGACTCAAACAGAAAGATTGTGAGGATGACGCAGGACTGGGCAGTATTTCATTCAGTTGTACACAAAGTTGCTATGAATCCAAACCAATTAGGAGTTATGAGAGAGGGGTACTGTATATATGCTGGTGGGAGGGAAGGGAAAAGGGGATTCTGTCCTTAGAGGACACTAAACTGCTATTAAGAGTGATGGAAGAATTCAGAAACATAGTGATGATGAACATGATGAATGTGTAATTAATGTCACTGAACTGTATATGTAAAAAAATGTTGACTTGGTGAATGTCTTATGCATATTTACTACAATTAAAAACAAAAAATCATGTAGAAAGCTAAATATGATCAAGTCAAATAATAGAATTACAAGTTATTTTGGTGGTAGTGGGAGGTGTCCATTCCCCCACATCAAATTATATAGATCCCTAATTCTTTCTCACTTTGATATTGTTGCTCTTAAGTGCTGTCGAGTTGGTTCCGACTCATAGCAACCTGTATAGGGTTTCCAAGGAGCAGCTGGTGAGTCTGAACTGTCATGTGGTTCAAACCGAGCATGGGGTTCTGTGCATTATGCTACAGTGTCACACCAGGACTCCTTTCTCACTTTACGACAAAGGTATAAATCATACAACTGAGGTTAAAGTTTTCACCACTTTGGGCTTACCAAATAATTGGTATCTTTGTCTCAATCACATTACGTTTATGAGAATCATGCTCATCGCCAGCCTCTTATGCTTACTACTGATGTCTACATTTTCCACTAAGAGTTTCTGAAAAATTCAACAAGTAGTTATATATCTGTGTAAGTACTAATGTTCTTTAAAAAATAGATATTGCTGAATCCTAAAAAATGGCCATTTCTGTTATAGATAGATATAGCTTTATATATCTATCATATGATAGCCCAAATTCATTTAACTAAAGTTTGTTTTATCAGTATCAATGCATAATAATATTAATAGTCAAATAATAAGTTCCAGATACTATATTAATACTTTATATATATTAACTCAATAAATCCTCAGAACCCTTAGAGATAGGTACTATTAATTATATCCATTTGGTAGATGAGAAAATTGAAGCACACAGAAGTTATGTTACCTGTTCAAAGAACACAGAGAGGGCAAACGGTAAACTGGGATTCAAATTCAGGCAGTCTAGCTCTAGGATCAGGGCTCTTAACCACACTACACTACATGTGTTTCATAATGCTTCAAAGTACACCCGCTGTCATCCAGTTGATTCCAATTTCATAGCAACTGTACAAGGGTGGCAAGACTGTAAATATTTATGGGAGCAGACAGTCTCATCTTTTCCCCAAGAAGTGGTTGGTGGATTTGAACTGCCAACCTTGTTGTTTTAGTACCCCAATGCCTAACTCACAGTGCCACTAGGATTCCTTGCTTCAAAGTACAGACTGTAAAACTCAAAACACCAAAAGTAAAGGACAGCCACTATAATTACTTCCTACTCACAGCAGATCTTGGGCTTCTTTCTTGTTCTGTTTTGGATTTTAACCCCTTAAGAGACTTAAAATATAAATGCTAACTCGTCCCAGAATTTTTTGTGAATAATATTGGGGCACTCTTAGGCTTCTTACAGTTTCATAGCCTTAGTTTAAAAATGTGACTAATTAACATCTCTTTCTCTTGGCCTTCCAGATGTTGTTGCTGCTGAGTGCTGTAGAGTCAGTTCCAACTCACAGAGATACTGTATAGGGTTTCTAAGGAGCAGATGGTAGGTTTGAACCCCTGACCTTGTAGTTAGCAGTCAGTGTTTATCCTACAGTGAAATACAACAGGAGTCCAGCGTTCCACACAGCCACACTAATTACACAACACAGTCCTTCCATCCAGTTAATGTATTATAGTTCCATATTGTGGGTGACTTGACCTACAGTTTAATATTATTGGGTAGCCTAACTTAACATAGAGTGAGCAATGATCAACCCTAAAAGGGCTTCAAGTTCATTAATCAAGAAGAGTAATCTAAGCGTGGGGGGTGGGGGGAGGGAATAAACAGAAGGGACAGATATGCCTCCAGAGAACAAAGCATAAAGTAGATCAGAATCTCCAGAAGGTAAAAGTAAGCAAATTCTTTAATACAGCAGCATAGTTCCTTTTACAGGTCTTAAAAAGCTTACATACTAAATTCAAGTTATTGCTACACTGTCAAAGATTTTAGATAATTTTTTGTTTCAGATTAACGTAGAACAAAAATTTCCATTTGAACAGGGAAGTTTTCATAAAACAGAGAAATCACCAGACTCCTTCAACAGAATTCACGTTCCTGGGACACAGATCAGAGAGTCACAGTCACACTAATAATCCTAGATTGGTTTCAGGTAAAAGTGTTCAAGGATGTAAGCATAATTGTGAGCTACAGGAGAAATCTGGATCATCTCTGGGAGTCCTGGTGTGGCGCCGCAGGATAAGCCCTGGACTGCAAGGTCAGTTTGAACCAAAAAGTCGGCAGTTCAAACTCACCAGCCGCTCCTCAGAAACTCTGGACAGGGTCACTATAAGTTGGAATTGACACTAAGGCACTTAACAACAACAGTCAATGACTGAAACATAGAATTTTAGAATTGGAAGGGTCTACAGAGGCTATTACTGGAATCTAGAAACTATAAATGACTTGCCAGGTATAAAGGTTAGAAATTAGGTCTTCCAGCAAGTAGAGTTATTCATTAATACTAGATATAATAAATTTTGATGCACAGTGAATAAATAAGGAATACTTCTGCCATCTGTCTCTTTTTGGAAAATCTACACACCAAAAGCATGCACACACCCGATAAGACCACCATCAAAAACTAACAAGAATGTCTTAGTTACCATATGCTTTTCCCTGCCAGATTAAAGAAAAGCAGCTGATTAAAGGAGTGCCTATTCTCATGAGACTAATGTGATACTAATTACACATGACAAGTTGTCATACTTGATAATAAACCATGTGGAAAACCTAACCCAGAAAATCTACTGTTGTCAGGACACAAAAGGCTATTTACATAGCTAACCAAGGACACTGACAGATTCAGTGATTGTCATTTAATCAGATCCCCCCACCTAGACTTTCAAAAGCTACAGCTACTCAGTGGGGCCAATGCAGCATAAATCATGCATGATAAACCCACAGCAAAAGATTCCAAAGATACATAGACGTTAGCACACTAAACCCCACCCACCTCAGCTTAAACTGAAGAGTCAAGTGAGTCAGCAATTACCATATTCCAGCCCTAAACATCTATTCAAGGGTTTTCAAAGTAAATGTGATTAAAATATTTAGACCACTGCATGGGCCAGATCAAAATACTCATTAAACATCCGTTTACTTTACCCAAACTAGGTACACATTAAAATCACCTAGACAGCTTATGAAAAATACAGATTTCCAGACCCCACCATGACGTATCTGGTTCAATAAATATCTGGGTACAGCTCCATGATCTCTGTTTTGTTAACTATTTAGACAATTAGATGTGGTAATTATTGCTCTTGGGAACTCAAGTAACTACTATCAAATTTAAAACTTCTACTGAACAAACAAATTGGTTCCATTATCCAATCAATTACAAAAATAATGTTCCTCAAGTGTTAGGATACTGAACCAGTAAGTGAGAAATCATATTTCTTTTAAAGAAAAGTCAATGGTGACAGTAGTTTTCAGGTGTTAGTTATCACTGCTATCAGATCAGGAAATGGATTTGAGAGAGAACAGAGTGAAACACACAAAAACTCTACCACCCATACAAGGTCTGTATCACTTACCTAGAAGTCTGAGACAGAAATGAAATAGTCAGCTTCAGTCATCTTCAGGAAAAATGACTTGTGACTCACAGTTTGAGATGATATTAAGATTTTTCCATTCCTAGTTGTGTCGTTACAGGATAAGCACTAGTCTCCTAACAAGGTTGGCAGTTCAAACCCACCAGTCACTACTAGAAAACCCTCTATACAGGGTTACTAAGAGTCAGAACAAACTCAGTGACACTTAACAGACCACCACCACTGAGGGTGGGAGGGGAAGGAGAGGGGATGTTATTGTGTAGAGGCACTGAGCTGATAAGAGTGATGGGAAACACTGCAAATGCACACTTATGAGGATCGCCCAACATGATGAATGTAATTAATGTCACTGAATTGAACATAGAAAAATGTTGATAAAAATGATGATGCTATTCAAATAATCTTGTTAAGGATGAAATCTCTAAAACAGATGGATTTCTATTTATTTACATGTAGAAGGGCTCTGGTAGCGTAGTGGTTACGAATCGGGCTGCGAACCTTAAGGTCAGCGGTTCGAAACTACCAGCTGCTCTGCGGGAGAAAGATGAGGCTTTCTACTCCCGTAAGGATTTACACCCTCGGAAACCCTGTACAGGGTCGCTATGGGTCGGAACCGACTCGACGGCACTTAACAACAACAACAACATGTAGAAGGGAGCTTCAAAGAGTTAGTGGAAAAACTCGATTATCTTTTAATTCAGTTTTTCCATGAACTTTTTGTATACAGTACATTTTTATCTATACCAATGGCAATCAGTGAAAATATCAAGTTTTCATCACAGCTCTGTTCACAGTAGCAAAAAGATGGAGACAATTCTTATTAATACTTAAAATCACTATCACAAACAAAATATAATACCTTGAGGTAAAGAAAGTTGCTGCTCCTGCAACTGCTCCTGAGAGAGGAGTCCCAAGTAGCTGAGAACGACATACTTTGTTTCATAGTGGAATCCTAGAGGCACAGCAGCAGGGGACGCCATTGAGTTGATTAGCAGAACTCCAAAGCGGTCTATTTACAGATGTATAAAACCTGAAAACATAGAACACATTCTTACAGTTTAAAGTTTATTACATGAGTTTATTATACAAGACAATTTTCCCAATATTGACTCTAATCATTCAACTAGATAACAAAATAAATGTTTCTCAGATTTTTCTTAATAGTAATTGCAGAAAATTAGTTTCATTTACTTATTATAATGGGAATTTATTCCAATTACAGTATAAAAGAAAACCTGCCTTCCCCTTTCTAAGGAGCCCTAGAGGCCCAACAGTTAAGCAGGATGGCTGCAAATGAAAAGGTTGGCAGTCCAAACTCACCCAGTGGCTCTATGCAGAAAGAATGGCAATCTGTTCTATAAAGAACACAGCCAAGAAAAGCCTGTGGGGTCACAATGAGCTGAAATCTACTTGATAGCACCCAACAACTATTATATGTTCAATGTAAAACTGATGATCTGCTATATAAACCTTCACTCAATTCATGATAAAACTTTGAAAAGAAATCAAACAATGCATGGAATTGGTCAAATCTGCTGCAAAAGACCTCTTTAAAGTGTTAAAAAAAAAAAAAAAAAACAATGACGTTACTTTGAGAACTAAGGTGCACCTGACACCTCACCATCTGGATTGGTACAGTCAGAGAAGTAGAAAGAAAATCAGGAAAGAATGGAGTCATAGAAGTCAAGAGGAGGCATTTCAAGAAGAAGGAAGTGAAAGAGAAGTGTCTCATACAAAGGCAAGCAAGTCAGATTAAGCTTGGATCTCTCAGCAGAAACCATGCAAGCAAGAAGGCAAAGGGGAGACATATATAAAACCCTGTAAGAAAAAAATTGCCAACCAAGAATCCTTCATCCAGCAAAACTATCAATCAAATACGACGGTATAATCAAAACATTCCAGGATAAACAGAAGCTAAGGGATTTTGCCAAAGCCAACCCTGCTATGAAAAACATCCTAAAGGGAGTTCTGTGGACTCAGA